GATGAGCGAACTCGTTTTGACGAAAAGTAAATAAATACACATAAGAAAAACGAAAATCTTGCATAGAGTAGCATGTACGTTTCAAAATAGCAAAACCTTGCATGTCGATGCAGAGTAACCTTCCCAATAGTTTCTGTAAATGCAACCTTTTTGTATTAACATGCACCATTTAACAAAGTTCTGATCATCTTACAGGAGCAAACAGATAACACCTTGACATTTCAATATGAGTCATTTATCTTGCATGAATACGCAAGATTGTTGCATGCGACTATTTGCAAGGATGAGTTCTCGCATAATCTCGCGTTTTTTATTTGAAAACTTAAAGTGAATCTTTTCAGATATGCGTTTGCGATATATATACCTCTTTGCATGTACTGTTGTCCTACATTTAGATACAACAATTACAATTATTTAAAATAAGCTGTGCGTTTGTGGATGAAATGTGTCGACTTGACAAACATCTTGTAAGTTAATGCAAGTTTCTAAATATTTCACGCAAACATACACACTTTTTACGGTTTCGCGTTTTACTGGGATGAGAAACAAAATTACTGCAACATGCAATGATTCATTTGTTTGATCAGATGCAATATGCACTGCTAGGCTGTTTAAATGTGGGAATGAAACATGGAATAGGAATGAAGATGGGATCAGTTAATGAATTAGAATACATAGAAAAAGATACTTAAAAACCGCGATAACAATATCGAACAGGCCACTTTACAGTAACAGATAATGGGTGACCCAGATGTTGTGATTTGACTTTCAATAAAACTAAATATTCATGATGATTAATTTGTTATTTTTCTTGTTTTATTTGATTTTATCCGTTGATTTTTCTATAACGGAAAGTTTTCAATTTCCTATTTGATTTTCATATTATTAGGTTCGGTACCAATACATCTTTCTGATGAAACCTAAATTTCTTGTTCTACTTGCTTCAGATTTTTAGTTAGATAATGTGACTAATATGTGTGCACAAGTCAATATTCTCGCCTCTATTCTTGGTTAGATTCTTTTTTGTCTTGAAGTTCAGTCAGGAGTCTTGCTATCAATTAATCAAACGGTAAGAAGACTCTCTTCAGAGCTAAGTAATAGATAATCTTTCTTTGTTTTTTATATATCTATATAAATTACTTCCATGTGTTTATTTTCCCATTATTATAATGAACGTTTTATCATAAACACGTAATGCAAACAAGATCATTTAACATTTAAACAGACTCTTTTATTTTTTCTAAATTTGTATAGTCTATTCGATGAACCATTTTGTATCAAAATGGCTATCGACTTCTGTTTCATTTTTTTTCGTATTTAAGATTTCGACAATAAAATAGGAGTGAAAATCAAAATATAGCAGGCTCATACTAATTAGAAGAATAAAGCATAAGAATCTTACTACATTATTCAAGAAATTGATTCTAATACTGTATAATGAAAAGAATCAAATTTGAATTGCAAGCTTCTTTTAGGATTAGAGATATCCTCTCTCGTCAGACAAGATTCAATCAACAGAATTCTTGTCTGATTAACTTGATCATATCAATCAGATCAGAATCTCACATTTAACATATAGAAAAAGGATTTCGACAGATATTTCTACATAAAAAGAATCTGGAAAGAACAAAGACAAGAATGTTAACTTGCATTGATTATACAATAAAAAAAAATGTATCTCAAAAGGAAAAATAGTTCCATCTGGTTTGTTTTGTACATATTAATCTATCAATTTGTCTTCATGTGTATGTGGTTTTGGTTATGTGGTTACGTAAAATTCTATTATAGAATGAATCAATTATAAACAAATGTCAACATCTTTTTCTTCTTTTATTCTTTTTTCATGTCTATCCTAAGTTTACACTATCAACATTATTGATGTGTAGAATGTAAAAAAAGTCTCATGACATCAAACAGATTTCAAAACTCCTCAAAAGTATAAATATGGTGAATTTTAATATTTGCAATAGAACTATTCGGTAATGAAAAGAATGTCTACGATTAAGTTTCGATGATTTTTTAGATTTTTTTAAGATGACTACATATGGCTTATCGCATAACTAAATTTTCTTGGATTCTGCGACTACACATTGTTTGATAATCTATCTATCATCACCAATTTCGTTATGTTTGAACATTCTTTAGTTTTTTTTCTTTGTTAATGTGAAAATATCCTTAAAATTTTTCAATTATTTAATACAATAAGCTTTTATTAAATTGTATGTAATGTTATTACAAATGAATGTTCTATTTAGTTTGGACACTGAAACAGAAAATTTTTATGTGTTGATACTAGTCTTTTTTCTAAGAAATCATAATTCTTTTTTTTTTCAAATACTTTTCATTTCTAATACAGGATTATTTCTAGTAAATATAAAGAATATTTTTTAGTATGTCAAATTCCATATTTAAATATGAATTCTTAGCACAGAAAGACAATCTTTTATCGAATCAATAGAACTATATATGACTTTTTTATTTTCGCCGTAAGGAATATTGACGAGTATCATAATGAATAGCCTTCATTTCAATAAGAATACTTTTTACCGATGAAGGGAAAGCATATTTACAATTATTTTACTCTAAAAGTAAATCATTAATCAGATTACAAAACTTACAGTATATAAACAATCCGCAATTGATTATTTGCAATCTTTAAAGTTCTAATTAAATCATATACAGTTGTTCATAATTACTGTATGAGAACGCATAGTATATCTTGAAAATTTTCTTTTTGTTTTTTTTTTGTTTTTCTATTTTGTATTTATTCTGAAAAAGAGAATAAAATAAAAGATCTTCATATATAATTTATTTATAATTGATAAATTTTACTTAAGTATTGACTTACTTTTATAGATAAAATATTTTTCTTTAAATATTACAATTATGAATTATGAAAAAGAAACTTTGTTCAAATCTTTTTCTTTTCTCAACTCAATAAATTTGATTTTTAATAGATCATTTGTCTTCTTCCAACAATGATTAAAAGAAAAATAAACTAATTTTGTCAATAAAATGTTAGTATGTTCTAAAACATAAATGATAATATTTTAAATGTTTAATTGAAATTTTTTATGAGAAAAATGTGTTTTGTTCACCAAAATTGTGTGTACTGCGAAATGATCACCAAAAAATGAGTAATTTGATCACCAAATTTTTTTACTGCGAAATGATCACCAAAAGTTAGTGATTTGATCATTAAATCAATCAAGAGTTGAGCCAATTAAAATGACAAAATGTTTCCATAAATAAAACTCGACTTTTCTAATGTTATATGAATAAAATGAACTGATTAGTTGAAAGTAATTATGCATATCAATATAAGTGTGTGACGTTACAAAAATAAAGTTAAAGTGAGGGTGAGCATGAAGATGAAAGGTAAGGATGTGAGTGAGGATGTATGAGTATAAGTATCCTGGTGTGGGTGAGCACTTCTCCTGAAGATCGATTCGATGTGAATGATATTTGGAAAGAGAGAATGATGCGTTTAGTTTTAATACTTCTTTTAGCTAATGGAGTGGATGCACGGAAATGCTGTAGTTGTCTATGATATGGCACTTATTTAATTGAACTCTTTCTTTTTATGTCTTTTTCATGTTGCCGCCTATAATTAATTTGGTGATCAAATCATTAATTTTTTGGTGATCATTTCGCAGTTAAAAAATCTGGTGATCAAAACTCAACTTTTTGGTGATCAAAAAAATACTGACCCATTTTTTATTTAGCGAAAAGAAAGAAAGAAAAGGTCGTTTTTTTTTGTTCAAATTCAACAATTGAAGTCAAGGAAGAAAATTTTATATTTCAATAAATTGAACATAAAATAGTGTCAATAGCATAGACAATATGACTTCAAAATTTCCTTGATGCCAAGCTTTAGAACTCTGATGTATAACTTGTAAAATTCTTTTGCACGAATACTTCTATGTATATACTTTTAGTTAAATATTTCAATTTTATCATTAGAATCTCTTAGCAATACAATTGTATACATATCTCCTGTCTATCTTTAAATAAAAATTAATAGAATATTCTAGGGAATCTGAATACAAAAGAATATTTAAACAATGTCAAATGGTATTTCATAAAACTAAACTAGTTACTAATTACATTCTACAAAAATAAAATCCTATGTTAATGTATATCTCAATTAGAAATGAATAATTTGTACATCTATAAACAAAAACAAAAATTGCTCTTAGATATTCTAACAAAAAATGATAGATAACACTAAAAACAAATATATAAATAAATGAGATAAAATATTTAATGAAATACTATTTTCAAAAATAAAATTTTTATATTGTCGTTTGCAAACTAAAGAAAATGAGATTTCATAATAAATGTCATAGGACTAATTAAAAGGTATTCATTTAAGGTATCTTTCAAAACAATTTTGTTAATATTATTCCAATGTTAAATGGCTTCAGACCAATAATCAAGTGTACTTTTTTTTTTTACCTTATCACATTAAAACTCTTTCAATAAATTTAAAATAAGCCATCTCAAAGTTTTCTTTCTAAACAATTATCATAAATATAAAATATCGGCTTCTTTTTTCCACATAGTGTAGTATATATTATAAAAAGGGAAGAAAAAAAAAAAAAAGAAAAAAGACAGGGACAAAAGTAAGTAATAGAGTAAAGGTTGTTGATGATGATAAACACAACAGTGAATAAGACGACGATACCATGACGAACAAAAAAAAGAAAAAAAGAAAGAAGAGTATGACGCTGTAAGAGAAAAGCGCGCAAAAAAAAAGAACGTAGAATAACATCACTCACTCACACGCACACACATCTACACATGACAACGACAAGACACAAGTTATGAGAAAAAAAAAAAAAGAAAAACGTTGTTGCCTGTCAGACGTCATTCTTATTCTTCTAAAACTGCAAATTGTTGGACGAATGCAGGATCTTTGCTGTTTTATGTTCTTATTATATACATTCATAATAATAATAATAATTATTAAAAAAAAAATAAACATCAAACTTATGCGACTATCTAGAAGAATTTGTATTATACGATGATACAGGTGCATATTGTTGTTGTACAGACGACTGTTGTTGAAGTAATTTAGAAGCAAATAAATCTTGTTTCATTACAGGATTTACTTTTTAATAAGAACAAAAGAAAAAGTTAATATATATATATATATATATAATAGAATAAAACATTATTAGATTTCTTACCATCTAATTTTTCATAATCAATTCGCATACTTTTATGTGTTTTACGCCAAAGTTGTACATCAAATACACAATAAACACCTGTTTCATATGTATCATATTTTTGATCAGGCATTATATTTTTTATTCGTGTTAACCATATACGTTCTTCTTTATGATAACGCCAATCACGTCGATATAATTCAGCAGCAGCTAATAATTGCACATGATCATTACCAAATAAATAAAATAAAAAAAATAACGTATCTTCATTTAATGTATTAAAATTAAGTGGAGGTAATTTGTCACGTATTTGTAATCCCATTTGATATTCAAATGGAACTTGATAATCAATTTCATATGGTCGAGCTTGACTATCGGAAAATGGAGATAGAAATGATGGATATAAATCATTTTGACTTTCCATACCTAAAATAAGAAATTTATTTCAAATAGAATTTATATTTATATTTATTCATTAAATTTTTTTGTAGAATAGGATTCTTTTGTTTTGTGAAACAAAATAATGAAATTAATTTTTCAATTTAAATGAACTCTATTGATCTTTTCAAAGATTGGTACAATGCTGGTATCAAATCATCGAGCAATCCTAATTAGATCAATGACAAATAGTATGGATCAATAGAACTAAACTACTCCGAGACAAGAAACCTCTATACCCAGTCAAACAAAAATTTTGAAAAACGCGTTTAAACGCACAATCGGGAACCGCGACTGTGATCCATTCACGCTCGTTAAAAAAACGCACGGAAACGCGTTTATTGGCGTTTTTTGCAACTTTCTGGGCGTCAAAACGGCGAAAATTCCAGTTTTTGAGCGTTAAAACATATTGTTTTTAAGTTCTAGAATAATAGTGCGTTTTAACGCTCAAAACCTGGAATTTTCGCCGTTTTGACGCCTAGAAAGTTACAGAAAACACCAATAAACGCGTTTTCATGCGTTTTTTTAATGAGCGTGAATGGCTTACAATCGCGGTTCCCGATTGTGCGTTTAAACGCGTTTTTCAAAATTTTTGTCTGACCGGGTATACATCTCTGTTCTCGAAAGGATTAATAATGAATGGGTATGAAAATAAAAATGAAATCAATCTTTATTAGATGATAGAAGTTTTCAATAAAAAAAAAACGATACTGAGTGAATATTATGAAAGTCTATCTAGAAATTTTGTGTTTATAAAAAACAAATGAAAGAACAAGAAAATTTTGAACAATTGTTATATATGTATTTTTTTCGTTGTTCAGAAAATGTTTTTCTTTTGATTTATGATAAAAAATTTTCAGTTTAAGAATATGTTAAAATTTCATGAAGAAAATACATACTAAGTCCGAGTGTCGTTAGATCATAATTTAGTAATGTTGATGTATCAGGATTTTTTTCTGCTTGTTGAATCATTTGTAGAAGACCAACAAGACCATATTGATCTGTAATTGTTGATGATGGTAGACCATTTGTATTTGTTGTTGTTGTTGATGTATTTGATATTTGTTGTGGATTTGTTGTTGTTGATGATGATGATGTTGAATTATTTGTTAATGATGTTGTTTTATTATTAACTGATGTTTGACGTCGATTTATTAATGTACTTAAAGCATCAATAGATGTTTTAAATGATATTGGTGATTGTGATTGAGAATGTTGTTGTTGTTGAGATGAATTATATCCATTTGTTATTGGTTGATGAAGATTTGATGATGATGATGACGATGAATATTGACTTTGATATAGTGGTTGAACATTCGTAGATGATGGTGTTGGTTCATGAGAATTATTTCGATGTGGCAATGGCGGAAAATCTTCTTGTTGTAATTCAAACTAGAATTTATAATAATAATAATAATAATAATAAATAATATTCAGTGAAAAACAAGAATATATATATATATATTTTTTTGTATTTTACATTTTTCTCAATTTGTGTTTGAGAAGATGACGCTAATGCTGATGCCATAGTTAATCCAAGTATACTATCAAAATGTGACGATGATGATGATGAATTTAAGGAATTTGTTTGTTGATTATTAAGAATATTTTGTTGTTGTTTCATTAATAATTGTTGTGTCAATGTTGATGATGATGATGTTGGTTGTCCTATTGTTGTCCATTGTTTTCCACCACCAACTGAACCAAATAGAGATGGAGAATTTGATGCAAGTGATGGCGGCATTGTTGATACTCCTCCATTACTATTAACATGTGAATAAGGTGATGATGTTGATGATGTTGTCGAATTGGCAGTTGATGCCAAATTAAGATAAGCCATTATGTTGAAAAATGAAAAATTAAATGAATTTTTTATTTTTTACAAAAGGAAAAATCTTAAATAAAAAATAATAATAAATATTTATTAAACGACAACCGCAAGTAAACAAAATTCAATATAAATGCGTAGGTAGTAAGCAAAGATAAACTGATAGATAAACATTAGAATAAAAAAGAATAAATTTCTAAATATATCGTCTAATAATAAACTAATAATTTCTTTTCCTTTTGTTGTTTTTTTTTTGTCTAAATCATGATGATAATCTATGAATATAGTCATTATCCTAAGTGAGACACGAGCCTAGGATGGATGAATGAATTGACACTCGGTAAAATGGATCGCGACAATCGTTTTCATTTAATCATATTATATTTTTTTAATGATAAATAAATGAAATTTAATCATAAATTTTCTATATTTATTTAGAAAAAAAATGAATATTTTATTTAAGTTTAATTTCATTTATAAATGACATGTGGCGACAGATGGATTCTTATATGTAAGATTGATAACAACCATTCGAAATTTTTTGTTTATTTACTCTGTCATGTGAGTAAGAGAAAAGAACTTTTTTTAATTAATTTAAATTAATACTTCTATCTTAATTAATTTTTATTAGTTTAAAGAAAAAAAACAAACATATTCTTTTATTTAAATATTAACTTTAAATCAAATATATTTTATTATTTTATAAATAATCTAAAAAATCTATGAAGAACAATTCGTTAACTTATTATCTATTCATATAGCTCAGGCCTTGTTAGAATAACAAAAAAAAGAAAACGTCGTTGTATTTTTGTCAAGGGCTTCATATTGTTTATTACACAATAGAATATATCCCTAAGAAAAAAAGTTCGATAATAGAATTCTTTAATATTATTTCAGTTTTTTTGAAAAAATATAACTAGTCATGATGTTGAGTATTTTTGATAGTCTCATGTGCCTTATCATGATGATATATGATAAAGCATTTTGTTTTTTTATTGTTATATGCTTTCGTCAGTATATCTTTATCATTATGTCGACTTTCGAATGTATAAAGTTTCTGGTTTTTTTTATTTTTATTTTTATTTCAGATTTAATTTGTAATATGCATTTAACATATTTATCTGTAATTTTTTTCCTATTTCTATTGATTAATTTCACTACGCAAGATACATCTGTGATTTCTTTTCAACCATCATCTATTAGTATTGTAACCGGTGAAAATAAATCAGTAAATATTCGTCTTCTTAAATCAGATCTTACTTCTCCTATTTCTCTTGAGTTTCTCTATGATGGTAAACTTGATAATGTACATGGTTACATTAATTCAATACCAAATATAACATTTACAAATGAAACAATTGATGATCGAAGTCAATTTATTACTATAACTGGTCGACGTCCAGGTCATCTAGTTTTAACAGCACAATCATCACAAATTAATATATCATCATTAGTAGATTTTCTTCTTATTGATATAGCACGTAGTCATGTATTAAATATATTTATACAAATTGTTGGTTGGATTTATTTTTTGGCATGGTCTGTATCATTTTATCCTCAAATAATATTAAATTTTCGACGACGAAGTGTTATTGGACTTAATTTTGATTTTTTATCATTAAATATTCTTGGACATACATCTTATGCAGTATTTAATATTGTTTTATATACATCATCAAAAGTTCAACGACAATATTTTGCTCAACATCCACATGGTGTTTTACCTGTTTTACTTAATGATGTAAGTTTTATTTATGAATTAAATTTTTTTCAATAGATTATTAAGACGAAATTAAAAAAGAATTTTTTTTTTCTAATGTAGATTAAGAGAACAACTATCGTTTATTAGATCAAATCAGAGACCATCACAAGGCACTTTTTTTTGCCGTGCCCAGCCCTGGAAATAACTCGTACAAAATTTTGTCACCCTGCCCTCAAGACAGGGCGGGGCATATAAACTAAGATCAACTATGAATGAGTTGCTAAGATTATCAAAAATTTTATTTTTGTTTATATTCAGTGCTCATACTTTATATAATTTCAAAAGAATATTATCCATGTATAAAAACAATCATAAATCCCACCAAAAATCGATTGAAATTATGCAATTATAATCTGATTTTAAACTTATATTTTCTTTTTTTTCTTCTCATTTTAATCGATTAGAAAGAATTCAAAAGAAAATGCTTGACAATAAAAAAAAAAAGATCAACCATGACGAGTAAAAACCAGATTATAATCAAGTAAAAAATGGCTTCATTTTAATTTATTCTTAATGAAGAAATAATATTTGTTAATACAATATCTTGCCTTATTTGAGCATGGGTACATGACACTAATAGCAGTATATTCATACAAAAATCAGATATTTGTCAATGAAAACAGCAATTTTTTATGACTAAGTATTATATGTTAATTGATTCAAAGTCTTTCATCACTATTTAGCATCAGGTCAAGATTCATTTTTTTTATGATTTGATAAGAGATGTTCAATCTCTTCACAATTGAAAGAGATCGTATTCAATGATGATGATGAATTAGAATAAGTATCATATACATAAACTCTAGTGGAATCAATCTAAACATGAAATCATTACTACTTACTAGAATTAGATAGATGACGAATTTTCTGAAAGATTTATCTTTGGATTTAGTAAACGATTTCAAATGACTTTTTATTAAAAAAAACAATATTACCAGGGCAAGCTATTTCGTCTGGCCTGAGGCCAGGACGCGATGGTATCAGAGCGTCCTGTATTAATGGCGGTCTCTGCTCTCTATTCTATTCACAGGAAACAAAGGATAACTAATAGCGAAACATAAAGATTGTCGTTAAGAGATATAGTGGATAAAATGTAAATATAAGTAGTTTATAACGATGGTCTCATATAACTGCACAAAAGATTAAAAATTTTGATTAAGAAAACATTTATGACCTGAGAATTGGTACATAATTTACCAGGACAGTTCTGTCCTAATAACGATCTCTGGATCGTATGGAAAGAGAATTTTATCTTTTTTGAAAATTTGAAGATAGAATCATTGATTTTACTTACTGATATTAAACTCATTGACGAAGTTGAGTTCTTTTTTTGTCCCCACAAGAGAGACTAAGTCTATCCTCCATTGATTTTTCAGTCTCTTAAAGAAGACTTCAGAAATTTGAAAACATTGAGTTGTAATTAAAATTTTTGTATTATTTTTGAATATAGGTTCAACATTTCTCTAGGAATTTTTTGGTTGATGAGTTATGAGTACGACCTTTTAAAGATCCGAAAATTAACTTTAGGCGAAGAAATTTGACGTTTTTTCTTGCATAGAATTAAAGTTGGGATTGTTTTCTACAAAGTTATGTATTAATCAAGAGTTTCAGGAATAGCCAAGCTCACTTTACAAGTCTATTTTTCAGAGAAATCGAGAAAATGACCTAAATTGACACTATGTTTCGTATCAGAAATATCTACTGTTGACAAATGACTTTCAACAAACAAGTATACTATTTTATAGAAAAATGTTTGTTCTTTCATTCACTGTTTTTTTTAAATAAATTTCGATTCTACTTTGGATAAGATTTGGCTTGCTAGAGCTCATCCAAACTTGATTTATGGGCATCAAAAAATCTCGGCTCATAACTATTAAAACAGAATTCCTACAAAAAAATTTTGAAGCCATATTTGGAAAGAATAGAAAATTCTAATTCTCATTCAATATTTTGAAATTTCTGCAGATTTCGTTAAGAAGTTGAAAAATAAACGAACATTTTGTCAAATGACTTGTTATTATGTTCAAGCGAACAAATTTATTCCGATAGATCTTCAATAATTAAAAGTTATTTTCATAGAATCAAAACAATTTTAAAGCTTTGTAAAGAAATTTTTCAGTTCAAAACTCTGAAAGCTACGCTTATTTTCATATATGTATATTAATTAAAATTCAATTTTATGAAAGATCAATTAATTAACAGAAGTTTTCTATTACATCTTGCGCATCATTTCATCAAGATAAAGATATAAAGATTAAGCTTTTTTTCATACTCTGTAATTTGACTACGAGAAACAATCTAACCTTTATTCTACCCTGCGAGGTAAGATAGAGTAATTTACTGCACATCTCTACTCCAAAGAAATATCTCCTATTGCAAGAATGAGTTTAAGATGTATAAGTCTTCGACAGAATATTCATAAAATTTTCTAATATATTAATTGTATTTTATTTGTAAAAATTCTTTATCGTTATTTATTAAATATTTATTGAATTGAATTAAAATAAATTTATAAATTCTAGGTTATATTCAGTGGTCATGCTGTTTTTGCATGTTCGGTAACAATTATTCAATCTTTAATATATGAACGTGGTAATCAACGTGTATCTTATGTTGCTCGTGCACTAGGTGCTGTTGGTGTTGTATTTTTATTGATATCAACAATTATTTCATTATCTAATCATTTACCAACATTAACATTATTATATTTTTTTTCCTATGTTAAATTAGCAATAACAATACTAAAATATTGTCCACAAGCATGGATGAATTATAAACGAAAATCAACTGAAGGTTGGTCTATTGGAAATATTCTTTTAGATTTTACTGGTGGTGTATTCAGTCTATTACAAATGTTTTTACTTTCATCAAATTATAGTGATTGGACATCAATATTTGGTTCACCAACAAAACTTGGTTTAGGTTTACTTACGATTTTATTTGATATTTTATTTATTACTCAACATTATGTGCTTTATCGTCCAAATTTACAATATACAAAACGAATAAATATGTCGAATAATGAATTCAATGATAAAACATCAATTATTTCAATGAAAGCTTAATTAGTAATTCCAATATATTTTTTTCTTGCATTTCTTTTTTCTCGTAAGATTTATTTTTATTTTATTGGTTAATTATTTTTGTGTTATTTTTACTTCTATTGATTGGCATTAATAAATAAAATGAATTAAATTCTTTTAATTTTCGTTTTAATTTATATGAAATACAATTGACAGAATGATAACGAGTTTAATTATAGTGTTAGTTGAGTTACAGGTTTTATTTTTTTGTCTTATCTATTATTATAATGAGAGCTTTCGAGTTTGAATAGATATGTGATTAAATGTAAAATTGATATGATTAAATGAATAGTTCGTTGTCTGAAACTTTTGATTAATAAACTAGATCTGTTTTTAGTATAGCAGCTATTGAAAAAATAATTTATGAGATAAGAGAGAGAAATGAGCCGAAAAGGATATGTAATTAAAAAAAAGGCTTTGAGCATATATCGGAAGGAAATGAGATGGACGAGAAATAAATGAAAACAAGTTAAAAATTGATGATGATTCATATTGTCTTAGCGAAAAAAAAAATGTTCTATATAATCCTGAAAAATTTGATCCGATGAGTTTCGAATAGCTACTTATATAATTTTCTTTTGAGAAAAAAAAACCATTTACATACTTTCTATATCATATTTATATCCATATGAAAACTTGTTATACTTCATGTGTCGATCTTATCCAAGCAAATATTTATCTTATCAGTCTTTCTTTTTTTTTTCTCCAGTAACCATATTTATTGTCAAGGCTTGATTATTACGCTTGACGTTATTCACAGAGTCATTTCGTTGTTTTCTTATTGTTATCTAGTGGCTTTTTAAAAATGTACAAAACTTTTTTCTTTTTTTTTTTAGATGAGTGTTTCAGGATCTTTTGTACGTATCGAGTCTTGGTTATCTAAAAATGCACCTAATATTCTTGGACAATTAAATAAACCTATATCATCAATTGATGAACTTGATAAAGTTGAAAAAATGTTAGATGCAAAACTTCCTCCCTCTGTACGTGAAGCTTATACTTTTCATGATGGTGAATCACCTGAATCAAAAGGTTTATTTGGTGGTTGGCGTTGGTTACCATTAAATGAAATAATTCAATGGAATGATGAACAAAAAAATAATGTTCAAAAACATCATTTTATAGATTTTAAACCATCATTTATGATACCATTATTAATATCAACAATATCAATGAATGATTTACGTTATGTTGAAACAAGTGATGATAATGGTCAAGAAGAAACACCAGTTATTGAATGGAATCATGAACAACCAGCTCGTGATGTAAAATATGGAAGTAAATATATATATATATTTTTTTTTTCTTTAAATTTTAAATTCGAGAAATCTTTTCGACAAGACTTTGTTTTTTAGGTTTTGCAAATTATTTATCAACATTTGCTGAGAGACTTGAACTTGGTGAATATATTCTTGATGCTGATAATCCAGATAAAGCACGTGGTCTTATTCTTAAAAAATAAAAATCGTTTGTTTTATATCTATGTTTAATGCAATAAAAAAAAAATTCTTTTTGAACGACAAAATAAAAAAATGCACAAGAATTTGTTAGAACAGTTAATCATTATCTGACCTTTTCTAAAGATCAAATCTAATTCATCTTTAATACAAATACAAATATTGATTTTTTTTTCTATGCCCTTGAGAAAATTATTAGATTAAACAAATAAAAAAGAAAAAGAACAAGTAGTCTTACAAAGTTTCTAAACTCTCCGTTTATTCGATTTATGTACTTAACTTAATAGTACATATTGTTAACTTTTCTCATACGAGATATACAAGATAATTTACTTATAATAAAACAAAAAAACAAAACAAAAAAAACTTTGGATCAAACATTTTCAATATCTCGTTATCAATTAATATTTTTATAGTATTCTAATTAAATGCAATAAAAAATTTCACAAAATAATAAATATATCAATCATCAAAAAAAAAAAACAAAATCTATTTGTTTTTTTTTTTTTTTCTTCTTTGTTTTAATTGAGATGACCACTTCTAGATTCCGAATGTATAAAAAAGAAAAGAAAAAGAAGTAAATGAAATAGAGCAATGTAAGGGAAATTCATCTAATCAACAAAAATGAAAAAAAATTTTCAATGAACAGCCAACTGCTGTTATCGCACACAAAAACACATTCATGTAGAAAATAAAAGCGAGATACAATGTTTAATAGATCATACCCGCTTATGTCTATCATTGCTATTTGTTGTAACAACAAGTGCAAGAAAAAACAAAACAAATAAACAAACGAAAACAAAACAAAACAACTGTTCTGAATGTGCATGCGTGATGAGACTGAATTTTAAAGGAATGTAATACGTACATATTAGCAATTAATCTATGTACGAGAGAGAGAGAGAGAGAGACAGAAACAAAAAAAAACAAGATGAAACAAGCAAATAAACAATTGTACCTAATCTACTATTCATCATATAAATACGAACACGTATCAACACAAAGAACATATTCGATGATGTTGTCTACTTCGAGTTTTTGTTTGACGAATATTATCACTACTAATTGTTCGACTACAATTACAATTCCATATAGATCGAAGAGAACGTCTTTGATGTAATTGTTCGTCACGAATAATTTGTTGTTGTTGTTGATTATTATTATTATTATTATATGGAGAATGTGTAATTGACATTGAACCATCAGGTACATTTATATTTTCTGGTAATTGTTGTTGTTGTTCTTCACTATTTTCTGTTGATGGTTGATGTAATTCAGTTAAATAATCATACATTGTAAATGTTTGAAAACGATTTAAAGCTAAAGAAGGAAAGGGTATAAAATCAAATGTACGTGGTGGTCGTCGTCGAAACCAATCATGTTGTTTTATTTGTTCGATTGTAAAACGTAAACTTTTATCAATATGTAATAAACCATTTAGAAGTGATGTTAAATGTGGCTCAATATCATTAGGTATTGTATAAATACCTTTACCTATATTTTGATATAATAAATAAATATTATCAGCTTCAAATGGTAAATGTCCAGTAACTAAATTAAATAATGTTACACCACATGACCATATATCAATACAAAAACCATTATATGCATCATCACCATTAGCTATTTCTGGACATTGGAATGCAGGAGTACCTATTTTATAGTTTATTTTTGAAGAAAAATTAAATTATATTATTAATTTTATTGAATATAGAAATAATAAAAATATTCATCAACTTTTTCTTTAGAAAAACTTCACTCATAAGAATTAGAAATTTAATATTTAATTTTGATTAGATAATAATATTTAGTATTATTATTTAATTAAATTAAGAATAACTGTCACTTTTTTTTTCTTTAAATTCTCTCTCAAGATTTAATTATTGACTATTTAATTTGAGTTCATCGAACTGTTCGGTCACATGGGATAGATCCAAATAGTTTTTTTCAAAAAAAAAAAGAAATTCCGGAATTCTTTTTACCCAATAATTAATCGATCTTCATTAAGTATTCCTTTTCTTTAGCTTACTATATATCGTTAGATGTTTGTCTAAATATGTTCTAAAAATATTTGTTAATATCAACTACTAAATATTCACAATATGTTTTTTGAATATCTATAAAAATTGTACTATTTTAGTAAACTACTATACAACATCGATTAAAAAAAAACCCATAAAAATGGACAAGAGAAATATGATACTGACTACATTAATGATAAGAATGTTTTTCTTTTCTTTATCAAAAACTGACAAACCTTGACTTCGTTTGATGGTATCATCAGGACTAAACCTAAACATTAGAAAAACAAAAAAACAAAGTTGAATTTTTCAAAAAAAAAAAACAATCGTTTTGTTTTTTTTTTCAAATCATTACTTACATATCAAGTTGTTCAGCTGTACCAAAATCTGTTATTTTTAGTTGATGATCAACAGCAATCAATAAATTCCCTGGTCTATAGAACAGAAAGCAAAAAAGAAAAATCAATTGAAGGCTTTTTTTAATATAAATTTTCTCATACACATACTTAATATCATTATGAATAATAAATTTCGAATGTAAATATTCTAAACCATTAATTAATTGAACAAAATAACCATGTGCTTGCCATGTTGGAAAAGCCATAAGTTTTAATTTTAATCGTTCATCTGAATCAAGCATTTCTTGTAATGAAATAACACATAAATCAATAAATAAATATAATTTTTGTTTTTCATCATTCCGAATAAAATCATATAATTTAATTATATTTGGATGATTTAATTTTTTTAATATATTTATTTCTGTTGCAGCCATTTTTTCACCATATGGTGTTTTACGTAATCGACGACGTTGCATGATTTTAACTGCACGTCGACATAAATTTCGACGATCTAAACATTCTTTAACTTTAGCATATGAACCATGTCCAATAACATCACCAAATAAATATGGTCCTATAAATTTTGCACGTTTACGTTTTAAATAAAAATTAAATTCATCTTCAGATGATACACGTTGTATAGGTACAGGTGTTGGTGGTGTTAAATTAAGTAATAATGCTGATGTTTGTTCACCATCATCTTCATCTTCACCAAGTAATAAATCAAATTGTGCTGGACGTGTTGATGATGAAATTGGTGAAGAAAAATGTTGATGTCCTTTATTATAATTGTGTAGTATTGATGGTTGTTGTTGTTGTTGCACTAAAGGATATGTTGAGTGATTTATATCGCCATTTTCATCGTCATCTTCGTTAATAGTTTCTGGACATTCAATAATTACATTTGGTAAATCTGCTGGATATTGATATGTTGTTATTGATGTTTTTTCAGCCATTACCAAGCATCATTTATGTCTAAAAGATATATTTGATTAACTGACTATTGAAATTATCTAATAAGAATAAAACAAAGAGAAAAAAAGCATTTTCATTTATTGTTTTTTTTATTTGATAATAACATTGACAATAAAACTAGAGAAATTAAATTTATTATTTTCTATGTTAGAACAGAGAGAAAACAAAACATTTATGTTTTTATTTCAAAAACGAAATGTTCTTATTTTATGGGACAATCTATTCAAAGTAATGGTTAGATAAAAAAACGAATTAAAAATTTGATTTTATCCTTTACTCATTTATTGATAGATGGCAACAGTTGTTAATGAGCATATTTTTATTCTTTTGCAGAAGAAGAACAATTTGGTTTTTTTATTATAATTATTATTTTTTATTTCCAAATATTGATTCATGTCTCTTTTGAAGAAGATATTTTTATCTTTTAATTATTATTTGATAATTCATATGTACTGGATTATTATACTTTGATTTCAGTGATTGCTTTTGGAAGTGAGAAGAATAGCATCTTTCCATTCAGAAAAAAAAACTTTTAAAAAATTTTTTTCCGGTAAAAACGAATAAACTTTAAAAAAAGGAGTTTATAACTATTTTGGATGAGTCTCAAAAAGTGTTTTTTTTTCATTAATGGTTATTTCCATTTTCCTTTCAAAATTCGTGATCTATTCATATCCAATTTTAGGTATGTCATAATTAAATCATTCACACAAGTTTTTAGTATATTTCGCACCCTTCTCTTCTATTTAAGATCGATCGACTGATATACCACACTCGAATAAAAAAAAAACGCACATATACATTTAAACAGACACTAGTAAGTATTTTTGTGCTTGTTTATTTTTTTCTCCTTGAACAGTCACAAAGAAAACTGGCATTTTAGTTTTTCGTCTAGTCCTTTCTCTTTCTCTGTCTACATACACACAGTAATGATGACCTTCGACGACTTATTTTTCATTTCTCAATTTTGCGCTCATCATTTTCTCTGTACCTCCCTAATAGCTTGTATTTTACACTTGACAACTATCAATCATTTTCATCAACCAAACTACCTTACATTACAGGTAAGACTCATACATTTCTCTCCCGTTTCATTTTTCGTTTTCACGAAACCACAATTTTTCTTATAGGGTTTTTTCCTATTTGGTAAAATCAAGTTGTTACTTATTGTATAGGAAACTATAAACTTCGTCTGTTGAAAAGATGAACTTCAATTCTACACAATTCAGATCAACAGAAGGCGACGATCAATCCAGACTATCAGAAAATTCAAATATACGACGAGCATCATCACCTCACAATCTACAACATCAACTATCTTCTCACAGGGATCAGAGTGAGAGCAGTGGACATGGTGAACGTAAACGTATTCAACGTAGTGCTTCATCATCAAGTACAGATAGTTCAAGATCAGACCGTGCTCGTAACGTAGTTACTGATCGAGTTGAAGGTCCAACAGTAACAACTACACATCAAACACAATCTGCTGAAGGTGGTAAAGTTTACGGAGGACCTATAGTTACATCACATGGAGGAACTACTGGTGCAGCGCATATCGTGAGTGGTGGTTCATTTGGACATACTGTTAGCGGTGAACGAAGAAAAGGCCGTTTTCGACAAGAAGTTATTCGATTACCTGAGCAACATCAAGGACAAGTACGTCAAGTCCGGCGTCGTTTACCAACTCCTGAACCTGATACACTCGAACGAGTGTAAGTTTAAGAAATATTCTTCTAACTTAGTTCAAAACAAATATATATTTTTTTCTTTTAAATATAGTTACATTCAACGTACAGGAGGTGAAATTATAGAAGAAATTACAGAAGTTCCAACAACACCACCACCAGTTGTTAAAGAACGAAATGTTGTTGAACCAGCTGGACCACCACAAGTGTTTAAACGTGTGATTCGTGTACCACCAAGAGGTGGTGCGTACGGTGGTCATTTTCAATCACAAGGTGCTAATGTTCAATACAGTGATAATCTATTAAATGCAGGAGGTTATAACGCTGCTCAACAGGTTACTCATGGTTATCCACAACCGGCTGCTACAACCTATACAGGTGGATATGGTGGAACAGCTACTGCTGCTGCTGCTCCTTATAGCACCATTGGTAGTGGTTTTGGTTCTCTTGGTGGTGGTTTTGGTTCTCTTGGTGGTGGTTTTGGTTCTCTTGGTGGCGCTTTTGGTTCTCTTGGTAGTGGTTTTGGCTCTGTTGGTAGTGGCTATCAACAACGAGCACCTCTCATGTTTAGTGTTGGTGGTAGTGGTAGTTCGTCTCAGCCTATGCCAGGAATTGGTTGTCAACCTGCTTTCTGTTTTTATATTTGAACATTCATCCTTTCAACACTAATGCCGTCAAAAATTCATTGAAAAAGAAAGAGAGAACTCAATACCATATATATATATCTGATTTATTTCTATGCAATTCTAGGTACTTTTCTTTTTTTTATGAAAAGGACTTGTATTATGCAATAGTAACAATCAGACAATATATATGAAAGTTCTTTCTTTTTTTCTTCTCCTATGAATAAATTATACTTGATTTTTTACTATCTTTTCTTTTTATTACTTTATTCTGTATAACGTCTTTTATTTTGAAAAACAAACATAAAGATAGACCGCAAAAAAAAAAATTTACATGTTAACACACATACATATAACACTATCATGTTACACATCAGCGCACATTTCCGATAGGCAAAAAAAAAGAGGTAATAGTGAGAAAATAAAATTATGTATATTCTATTTTTTAATGATGCCCAATTGGAATAATAGTTACGTTATCATTACGTTGTCCATAATCAACACAACGTGATGGTTCATTTGGATAGAGTTTTTGTGCTCGACTAACAAGACGTTTAACTGCTTGAATATATTTACGTTGTGTTTCATCATTAAGTACATGTGCAACATGTTTTGAAGCAATTTTTTCACGACCTGGACGAGGATGGATGCCAACCATAGTAGCACCAAGAGGCCTAAAAATAAATTAAAATCATTTTTTACAAATCACAAAAGAAAAAATATAATAATAGACCTTAGGTATTTTTTTCTTCCTATCTTTCTCATATATCATATATCGAGGTCATTTTTTTTATTATCGACTCTGTTTACGTGTGATGTCTATACCTTTACATCATATTTTGATAACTGATCGATAAGAATGTCTTACTCTTTGAAAATCTAGCAAAGATTGACAACTATAATAAGCATTTTTTTACGACCCATTGACTATATATGTCTACGACAGACGTGTCAAATGAATACATTAATCATATCAAGAAGTATCATATTTCTAACAGCGACAATATAACTTCGTCAAATATGAAAGTAATAACTAGTCTTATTTGATATTATAAGACATCAATAATCAAATATTTCATTAGAGATGAAAGATTATAAACCTAATTCACAAGAAATCGTACTTTTATTTTACGTAAATATCGATAGAAAAAAGAAATTAGTTAGATAATAATCTGAAAGATAAGTTACTATTTCATACTACACGTTAGTTCACACTACTCATGGTATACCGACTGTTGATTGCTGATTAGATAACAACTATAGGTATATCGAACAGTCTACCAACGGTTTTTGTCCGATTTGAACTACATGAGTAAGACACATATAGAAGATTTTATTTCCCGATTTGATTTAAAGACTGATTTCTATCTTAGAAAGATTTTCTAGTGTTATTTGGATTTGTCATTAAAACAAAAAAAAAGCTAAAGTCTATTGAAACATGAATGATGAATACAACGAAGATAGTCATCTTTCTGTGTTTTTCTACGACGAAAAAAAAAAATATATTCCATTAATAATCAGTCTTTTATTCAGAATGAAGAACATATTTACTAAACTCAAGGTTGTCCTTCTCCTTGAAGTTCATGATTATTGCATCACATAGAATGGCATTAATTTAGACAAACAAAAAAAAAATTTTTGAAGCAATTTTCACTCAAAATAAAAAACGACAAAAAAAGCTTTAAGATGTATATTTATTTTTCATTCTTCTTCTCACCTGTCAATTAATGCTCTCTTACTATCATAGTAGTTTTCTCTAATAGATCATTATATAAACAAATCAGATCAATAAAGAAATAGATACGATAGACAATTGTAATAGATTAATCTATGGTTTTATTTCGTAAATGAAAGAAGATAATTATGTCGTTTTCTTTTGGCTAAACCAATATTTAATCGCCTCTTCAAAAAATGGTCTGCACTCACTCAAAGCTTTGAAATACTCTTCTGGAAGAGACAATTTACTAATATTATAATAATCATTCAGAATCATTCTCTATTCAAATGTATTCAATAAAATAATATTTCTTATACAAAATTTTCAATTCTTTTCTCAATTTATATGGGAAAAAAATAGAAACTTGTTTATCTTGGTTTGCTTGAATCGATGTATAGTTAGAGTTCCAATAGGTGAATTTTATTTTTGTTCATTGAAAGTATGTATTCAAAAATATTGTGAAAATCAGAATAATTATTGCGATCTAAAGTGGAGGAAAAAAAGTTTAACATACTTTTTAGTATTTAGCTGATTCTTTTCTGATTCTTTTACGATAGTTGAAAATTGTTTATTTATACCATTCGATGCAGAATTTTATGGACAACATTTCGATAAAAAGTACTTCTACTTATATTATAACATTAATTAATTAGTAGTTATGAATAATTAGTGGTTAATTAATGAAATGTTGATTTATTTGCAACTTTTGTGTATGTCATATGAAAGAGCAATAAAAATTAAACAATATTATATTAAGATTATTTTGAAATGGATCATCTTTGATGAAATTTTCTCAGAGCATATATACTTTTTAATTAGATATAGTGTTCATTAATTTTAATTAATTCAACTGTCAAAGGAAACTTTAAATTAGGAAAAACTAATAGAATTTGAAGGGTCGCATTTGCTCTTTCAAATGAGACGTAGTCACTCCCACCACAGCCTACTATTCAAACTCTTCGTCGTCTTTACTTTAAAAAAGTGATTTCACTCATAATTTCTAGCTATTTTTCTGTTATTTTTGCATTGCATAATTGGAACGCGTTGTAAAGTTTCATTTAATAGCTGAATTAATTAAAATTAATGAACACTATGTCTAATTAAAAAGTATATATGCTCTGAGAAAATTTCATCAAAGATGATCCATTTCGAAATAATGTTAATATAATTTTGTTTAATTTTTATTGTTCTTTCATATGATATACACAGAAGCTGGAAATAAATCAATATTTCATTAATTAACTACTAATTATTCATAAATACTAATTAATTAATTATTAAATAACCACTCGTTATTCAGAACTACTAATTAAATAATTATTAATTAATGTTACAATATAAGAACAAGTACTTTTTTGTCGAAATATAGCACATAAAATTCTGCACCAAATGATATACAAAAACAATTTTCAACTATTGTAAAATAATCAAAAAAGAATCAACTAAATATTAAAAATATTCTAAACTTTTTCCGCTTGAGAAAATATTTCTATTTAATAAAATCTAAAAGATTCGTGCTCAGAAAAATTTCCACATCTTAGTCTTGTAGTTCGCTTTGAGATCTATCAAAATCATTATTTAGATATTCTCAACAAATTGTTCTTCACGAGAAATTAAAACACTAAAAAGTATGCTAAACGTTTGTCCTCCACTCTATTTAGAATTTAAAATCTTAATTTTATTTTTCGTTTTACAATCGAATTTTATTTCAATCTATGATATCGCTTTGTATTTATATTCATCTTTCTTTTATTATTTTTTCTCTATTAAGCTTTATGTTTTGAAATATTTTTACAAATGTCAACATTTAGATTTTGACGTAAGTTATTTTTTGTTTCAACGTTTAACAATCACCCTTACTCAGATCAAACTCTTTAATAACGATAAGTTTGAACGAATTTATAAATTAATTGAACTCTGATATTCGTATAACTAGAAATTGATAGAAGCAATTCAATGAGATAATTCTTTAAGAAAGTTTTGTTGTTGTTATTGTCTCTCGCATAACATGCTAGAGTCAGGAGTGTTCCAGTAAGGAGAAAATAGTAGACTTCAGAGGCATAGTGTCCGATGTTGGCTAGCCTTCACTCTCACTTTTTACACCATGTCTGCGAAAATTTTGAACTTCTCAAAAAACTGTCTGTGAAACTTGAGAAAGCAGCTTTGTTCAATCCCTTTCTGCCAGACGGACTGCTTTCGACTATCTGTCAATTTCTTTCCCTGTGTCACTTTTAAAAACTATCGAGAGTCCTGTTCATGAGACTTCGAGACTGCACTCCCTGATGTTTCGCCGTCAATCCGAGCAGGAGAAGACGTGACTTCCCAGCGAAACTAAACGATTTCGTTTTTTTCCTCATCAATCTGCCCTCAATTATAATAATCTCGAGACACTCCCGGCTAGAGTATTCAATGAATGAGATTTTACTGTTTACTATTATTGTAAAGAGCAAAAAACAAATGTATTCATTTAAAATGTCTTACCATGGTGCATTTCCAATAGCCATCTCAAGAAAAAATTCATTTGCTCGAATATAATTTTTTTTTAAAACACAATTAACAACATTAATTAATGATTCAAGTATATCATCTTGTAATGTATTAGATTTTAATTTACGAAATAATGGCTTCATATAACCACATGTTTGTGAATGTAATGCTGTTTCAATTTTACCTTGTACAGATTTTTTTTCATCTAATTCACGTACATTTAATTCTTGTGACCATTTTTTAAGTATAAATTTAAAATAATTTAATACAACTTGACAATCATATGCACGATTACCTTTACGTGTTGTTTTTATTTGTTCAATTATATCCGGTAGATCATATCCACTTTCTTCTTTAACTTCTTCTGTTTGATTTGGAATTGGTGGTCCAATATCTTGTTCTTCATCTTTTTCATCAGAATTTGTGTTTAATGATGATGGATTATCTGCATGAAGTATAACAGCTAAATATTCGCGATCAATTTTATCCATAGCTATTGGGAAAAAAAACAATAATATTTTTAAAGTATAAATATGAATTATATAAACTAACCAGCTTTAAAATCATTTCGTTGTCCTTTAAGTTCAGGTTCAGTTGTTTCTAATAATCTTAATCTTCGATATGAATCAAGATCTGGTTCTCCAAAAAGACGTATGGGTTGATTACGTTCACGTAATTTTTTAATAACATCTGTTCTTGATGGTAATTGAAATTTTTCATTTGATATTGTTGTTTTTTCATTTGTATCTTCGATTGAAGATGATGCTTTATTTGAATTATCATTAGATTTTGAATAATATTTTTTCCAATATTCTTCTTCATGTTTAGCTTCAAGATCACCACGACGAAAACATTTTTTATCAGGTAATAAAATATTCATAGATTCAACATTTTTACGTTTACGTTCAATTTCGGCTTTTAATGATGCAAGATCCATATTCTTTTTCTTTCTACTTAAAATAAATAATCAAAATAATACGTCTTATTTATTGTTATATATGTGTTCTTATTCATTACAATAGAGGTCGGTGTATATTATTATAAACTTAATGATGTTTTTTTTTCCTATTAACTTTATATTTGTATTTCTTTTTTGATAAATTATTCTGTTTTTTCTAAGAATAAATAATATTCTTTTTTGAAATTACAAAGACCAATGTTCAATGAAAATGGCGATAAGATGTAAATTGCATGAGTCATCTTTAGATTGAACTTGAATCGGAAAAGAAAGAGCAAACGAACATCGTCTTTTTTTGTGGTTGTTTCCTTTTTTTTCCTTGAAAGTCGATTTATTTAGATAATCGAAATATCCTTTATATTCAAGGAACTTATTTGTCTTGTTATTTTTCTTCATTGATTTTTTTTTTCTAAATAAAATTTAATTATAAGATATGGTATTCCCTTGTGTATTGCAACTATTTGATATTGCTGGAGAAAAAAAAACAGATACACTCATTCGTCAAATGAAAAAAAACACGTATGATGTGAATTACGATGCTAGACATACATTCTTTCGCTTTTTTTCATTTATTTCTAGTCTACTCTATTCTATTCTGCTTTCATGTCCTTGATAAAATGCTGGCAGTAAAATCAAGTGTAGGGGGTTTTTTTCGTAGTTTCGTTTTTCTTCCTCGTTTGAGTTAGTACATTAACATTAAAAAAAAATGTATATTATTATTATTATTGTTGTTGGTTTTTATGTGATAAAGACTAAGCTATTCATTAAATCATCTGTCTGATGACGTGCAAAGTTTTATCACCTCGTATTGTCCGTCTTCTTTTTTTACCTATTGTCTTCATCGAATAGTGTTTATTTAACGCGATTGTAGAGCGACGCCGGCGTCTTATATTTGCTCGTTTCGTCCCACGCTCTGTCCCTTGTCATCACCTTGTTTAACCTTCATCTTGACCGATATCTCTCATTTTTTTTCTTCTTTCGTTCGTTCTTGACATTGCTCAGTCTTTACATTTTTCATCATTTAAGAGTATTTTTTCTCTTTCTCTAATTTTTATTATGATAAACGTGCAATAAAATCATTTCTTGTTTTGATTGATTGATGAGTTTCACGATAGTAATAAGGAGAGCCAAACGATTTATGGTTAGTATGTTACGTGATCTATTGTCACTAATAGGAGGTAATAAACAATTATTCGTTTTCTTTTCTCTCTTTTCTCTTTCGTTCATGGCTTTTCACACTATCAACAATAGAGATGAACAATATTCACAGGTGAATATAGCAAGGTTATATTAATATTCGTTTTTTTGTTCTTTTAGATGATTGTGTAAGCGAATCTCACATAAATTTAGAAACAAAAAAAAAATACAAAACAGATAAAAGAATGCTGAATCGAAGTTGGGGTACCGAACTTTGGGTATGTATTTATATATTCTTTTTCAATTATTTATTTTTCTTTTTATTTTTTTAGGATCAATTTGATAATGTTGCTAAATATGCTGAGAAAAGTTTACAATTTTGTGAAAAATATGAATCATTTCTTAAAGATCGTTGTACAGTTGAAGATGAATATGCTAAAGCATTAAAAAAATTAACTAAAACTTATACACCAAAATTAAAAGAACAAGAAGAATTTTATAATAAGTATGTTTTATTTTTAAATAATAATTTGAGAATATATAATTGAAATTTTTTGTTTTTTTTTATTAAATAGATATACATATACAATTGCATTTTGTTCAACATTAAAAGAATTACAAGATTTAGCTTCACAACATGAATTAATAGCTGAAAATATTCGTGAACGTTCAATAAAACAAATACAAATAACAGTAAAAGAATGTCGAGAACAACGAAAAAAATGTTTAGATGAATATACAAAAATAAAACGTCAACTTGATAAACAACATGAATTAATGATAAAAGTATGTCATACATATAAATCACAAAAAAAAAAATCAACAAAACTTATCTGAATGAGACAAATCTTGTATAAATGTCATGTTGTTAGTTAATAATATCATAAAACATAAGAGCACTCTAAAATGTGTATATGTATTTATGCAAAATGAATAATCAAAAGAAAAAAAAATTCTCAAGTGATTGAATCTTCATATATTTATAAATGAATAATCAATAATTCAAAAATTTATGAAAGATTTTAATAAAGAATAATTTTTTATTTTAACAATGATATTAAGTTTTAGAATCTTATCCTAGATTATACTTGAAATAAGTTGATTTGAGTTAATATTGATTGATTTCTGATAGAGAGAAAAAAATCAAAAGAATTGATCTCATTCTAACAATACCACTCTTTCAACTGATAGCATCCGTTCGACCTTACATTTTTCTGATTGTTAGACTTCATTGCTTAGATAGAACGCATAGCTGCCATTAGAACTTTGTTCTTGAGTTATGATTATTTTAATGAATTTTCAGTCTATTGCAAAACATTACAAGGAAAGTTGAATAAAAAAAAACATTTACACGGAAATAGATTTCATAATCATCAATAATACTCTGTAAGTTTTAGCAAAAACGGATAGTTTCTCCTCAAGATATTGTTTACTCAAAGAACAAAAAGGATTTGTTCGAACCTTTTCCAAGCAATCAGCAGTGTTACAACTCTGTTATCTAGAGGTAGAAGAGCCATTTTTGATTGGTGAAACTTGCAGAATACGATTAAAGACTATAAAATCTATTTTTAGATAAAATTTCTTTATTCAGTTTTTCTCGTAATATCTTGCAATAGATTGAGAATTTAGTACAATGAACATAACTCAAGAAGAAAGTGTTAATGGCAACTATGCATTTATCTAAACAATGAAGTCTAACAATCACATAAAAATGTGCAGGATTACTTTACCCTTCTAGGCAGATTCAGGGTAAGAAAAAAGTTTACTCTGCACATCTCTAGATGAAATTTAAATGCTATTTTCTTCATTATGTGAATTTTGAAAATTATCATACGAAAAAAAAGAAGGACGTTCAAAACTACGTTTGTAATCTTGATGTTACATATTTCGGTATATAGACTTTAAAGTTTATTTTGTTTTTTAGTCTTTACGAAAATATGAAGAATGTCATGAATCAGCACGTCGTGCTAAAGAAAGTTATGAAAAAGCTCATGAAGATCTAGATTTATCTCGTGCACAATTAGAAAAAGCTCGTGATACAATGACATCAAAATCAAAAATATGTGATGATGCACATACAAATTATTCTTCTCATGTATCTTTATTTAATGATACACAACGTTTATTTTATGAAAGACAATTACCAAGTATTTTAACAGATTTACAACAATTAGATGGTAAACGTTCTGATGAACTTAAAGATGTTTATATTAAATTTATTCAATCACATGCTGAAGTTTTACCACGTATACAACGATGTTTAGATGAAATGACTAAACAAACAGAACAATTAAATGCTAATACAGATGCACAAGTTGTTATTGAAGAATATAAATCTGGTTATACAATACCAGATGATGAAAAAGAAGTAAATAATTAATTTAATTATATTATTAATCAATTATTTATTTATTTCAATTATTATCTAGATTGATTTAAATGCTAGTGATCTTCCATCATTATTATTAAATGGAAATAATAGTGGACAAGATCAACAAATATATAATATAACATTACTTAATCATCAATATACTCCAGGAGAATTAGCACGATCAAATACATTAAGAAGTTCGGGTAGTGATCATAGTAGTCAAAATGGTGTAGCAACAATATATGCAGTAGGTAATGCTAGTGGTCATGTAAATGGTACACAAACATTAATGACAACACCAGCAATGGGTTCAAGAAAAACTGGAGGAAATAAAAGTAGTGGAACAGCAAGTACAATTAGAAAAATATTTGGAAGTTCATCACATAGAAAAGTAAGTAAAGAAAAATCATTAATAAAAAATAAAAAAAGAATCTATTATTATATTGACTTGTAAAATATATATATTATCTATTTATTTATTTTTATTATAGACAATATTGGTAAGTAGAGAAAAAAACATGTTTTCAATGTAGTTTATAATTGTGTTTGTAGCATGGAAAGAGGAAAGAAACACACTTAAATGTATTTTGTAGTAAAATGTGCTTTATGTGACTGAAAGATTTCTTAAATTTGCAAAGATCACATTTTTAATTAATCTATATAAAAATAAATTCCTTATTATTTTTTTGACATTGATATTTTCTTTTCTAGCCTTCAAATAATGGTAATTCAAATGTAACAACAACCAATACACCATATGGTACATTACCACCAGCACAACGTTTAAAAAAATTTCAAGAACAAATTGTAAATTGTAAAAGTGAATTAGAAAAAAAACAAAAAGCCAAGTAAATATATATATAATTAAAAATTTTATTTTTGTGTATTCATGAAAAATTTCTTGTTGTATTTTTATAGAGAAGGTTTAACAAAAATGAAACTTGTTTTTCAAGAAAATCCAAAATTTGGTGATGAACAAGATGTTACACAACAAATTATTTCAATTGATGATCATATTGAAAAATTGTTAGCTGAAATAAAACGATTTGAAGTAATCAAAAAAATAAAAACTTGTTCATAGACGAAAATTTCTTCTTTTCATTTCAGTCGTACATAGCTGAAATCGAACGAACACGAGCTCCAACATTATCTGAATATGATTCAACATCTCATTTACGAACAAATTATGGTTCTGATCAATCAATAAGTAATAATAATAATAATAATTCACAACCTGGTACACCAGCACAAAATCGAAGGTAATAAAAATAGAAACAAAAAAAAAAGGAAAGATTTTCCTTAGACATTTTTTCACTATTATGTGATGTTACTTTTATCTCATAAATAAACCTTATTAGTTTCCTCTATTTTCGTCATCATTATTCACCGCAATATAATAATAGATTGATAAATATCAATCGACGTTGGTCGACCACGGTTTGGTTAGCGAATAAACATTATATTATACCTTATGTAGCAAAAAGAAATTTTCTTAAACACAAAATTCTCTTTAAAAAGAATCAAAAAGCATGAAGATTCACAAAACAAAAATTCCATTCCTCTTCTTCTTCTTCTTATAGTAATTCTGAATACAATGTATATTACGCTATGGAACCCATATATCATATTTATCAACCGTTGAGGTTGGTTATATTAATCGTATTCTAGCATGCCAACTTCTTCTGCTTATTTATATAAAAGAAAAAAGAAAATTTTCGTTATTTAATGAAATAATTTATTTCTTATTTTAGTCCACCAGACATTCCTGAACATGTAACATCTTCACATGATTATCATCGATTACCATCAGTAACATCAATGACATTACATCAAAATGATACAACAAAACTATCAACACATACTTTAAACAATGATGAACATAATGGATCATTTGAAGATGAAGATATTGATGATGAACAATTACATTCTGTTGATAATACGGATAGTCAATGTCAACAACAATTCAATGGTGGAACAATTCTTAAAGCTTATGCACTCTATGATTTTAATGGTAAGAAAAAGTTTGTCAATGCAACTTCTTTGAGACTAAAATGTGAAATTCGTACATATTCGTTAGCTTTATTATACTAATAGAAAATATGTAAAATGAAAAATATCTATCAAACTATAACAGAAATTTTTTCTTTTTCTACTAACGTTCTATTTTTTTTCTTTTGTTCGCCTTGTTGCTATTCGTTCGTTGTTATTAATTTATCATTATTAGTATTCTAACTATTCATTTAACTGACAAATAAGTCTGTTATACATATCTACAGCAGATCTCAACACACTATTACTTATCTTGATAAACTCAGAAATACTGATATTGGTTATATCTTAAGGTTATCAGTTGATCAGTTTACTTTTTCTTTATGTTGATTATATGATGATTATGACAAATCAATGCATCACTACTCATCATCCTTTCTAGAATTATCTAAGTCTAATGTCGTTCAGCACCTTTTTTTCTATTGCTAAGAAACTTATTATTCTCGATTGCTATGGAAACGTAATCAATGAACGTTGACTTTCCTCCTCCACATGTTGCTAGGGACAACATTATCTACGTTGCTATAAGGATAGGTCTAAAAACCACAAAGATAGGATTTTTAAAGTAAATAATAGAAGAAAAAAATTTATTCTACTTATTAAGTGTTTGTCATTCGATATAGACTGTAGTTTGTTTACTTTCATAGACAAGTACTGAAACAAAATCTTTTAAATTATTTTTTTTGGTTCAATAAAGTCTTCTTCAATTACTCAATAATTAAAATGACCTTATTTCTTTTCTGAGAAATAATAATTACAATAAAATTCTATGTTTTTTTTTTCTCGATCTTTTCAGGTCATGGCATCAATGGTTGTCAATATGTAAATGCAGCATCAATATATGTTGGTGAATATGTCGATATATTAGAAGATGATCAAGGTGATGGATGGACACGTATACAAAAACATGATGGTTCAAGTGGTTTTGTTCCATCATCGTATCTTCGTATTGATTCTCAACAACATACCACATCATCACATCAAGTTGATTCCGGCCGTTTTTGAAAAAATATCTTCTCTTTTTTTTTTCGTATCTTTCGTTCTTTTTTTTCCTACATATATATATATACACATACACACACACACATGCTGCTCATTTATGTATACCAGTTGACTAAAAACAAAAAAAAAAATAACTTAATATATATTATTGTATGTGTGCTCAATTTTTGTTTGTTTGTTTATTTACTGTTCTATTTGATAAACTAGCCCGTTCCCCTAGTCAAATATTGTTCAGAAATATTGAAAGATAAATTTAAAACAGATGAATGTTTTCTCTTTAAAGGGCTGTCAGATACCTCGACATTATACGTACAGAATGAGCGAATGCATTTTTTCTTCTTGTACATGTTTATTGCTATTTATATATATATATATATATACATAATATATATGTTTTGATGTTTTTTTGTCATCTTAAATGAACAGTAAAAGAATAAGACAAGCATAAAATCGAATAAAAAAAAAGCTTTATGTTCACTTCTTTCTTTTTTTTTTTGTTTTGTGTTTCCTATGTAACATCAGATTGAGTATTAGAATTAGATATATATATATATATATATATATATTAATTATAAATCAGAATAGTTTTGTCTATGTGCGTGTATATCTATTGTATCTTCTTTATTCATTTATTATCTATTTCTGTTCTGTATACACATTTATATAATCTCTTGTTCATTCTTCTTTTATCTTGAATCAAAAGAAAAAAAACAAAAAACTTCAACTAACAAATGATAAAATGATTTAAATTCAAACATTCTTTTTTTTTCTTTTTGTTTATAGATTTTCTTTTTCTGTCAAAGAGAATTAAACATAAAAAATCATCATGTTTAATTCTGGTTCAACATCAACACCGAGTAATACAAGTCTTTTTGCAACATTCACACCTGTAAATCCAAATCGAACAACAACTAGTTCATTATTTGGTAATACAACAATAACACAACCTAATACATTGACATCAACACCATTTGCATCAACAAGTTTATTTGGTAATAAAATTAAGGATGTGTAGAAAAATAGATTTCTAGAAGACAACTCTTCAGAAAAATTTGAAATTTTCAAAGCAAGTAGATCGAGCAAAAGTTGTCATCTTGGATGCTGTCTTTCATGAGATACTGGAATTACAATAGTCCCTTCCTTTCTTTGAGATGCTATGTTCGATCGAGCTAAAAAAGTTTTACAGGTATTAGACACTGTTTGAAGTGATTTTTTGTCCTTTAAATAAAAGGATCAAAATATTGAAAGGTACTCTAAAAAATGCATGTTTTTTTGTAAAGTGCTACTAACAATCAACAGAACAATATTTTTTGAAATAAAAACAACTACCTATCCCAAATATTGAATAGTATATGTGACAAAAGTTTCGACTCTATCAAACGTACTAGACCAGAGAAATGAGGGTGTTTCTGCACGTCTTTTTCATGAAAAGGTAGATTTGAGGAAAAACGCGAAAAAACCCTAGTCAAACTTTGTTTTTTCATGTTCATAAAGTTCTTGAATATCTTGAGTAAGAAAGTTATATGATATGGATAAATCTTGAAACAAGACTTGTGCGCTTTTGGCAAACTCCGATACTTGAATTTCTTATTTCATCATTTAACATTCTTATCCATGCACGGGTAAATGTAATCAAAAACGAAGTCTTCTATGGAGTACATTACGAGTTGCAAGGATTAATAACAAAAGTCCGCCCTCCATCGTAAGCTATCGATAATAATACTCCATTGGATTTGATCATTCATCACAACTATGAAAACGATATCTGTCATGCGTGAAACTAACTTTAATTATATGTTATACGTTCCTTTCGTTTTTTTCTCTTCGGTTTTACGTTCAAAATGATTCGATCCATCATAACTTAAATAACAAAGTCTATCACGAGCGCAAATCAAAAAAGGAAATTCAATAGCAAGGAATATTCTTTCATCTTGAGCAGAAAAATTGTTATATTATTTTATTCCAGTTGATTATTTTCAAGTGTGCTTATTTGTATGATTTTCATGAGTTCAACATATGTGAGCTCCTTTAAATGTACATATAACTCATGCAAACATTCATATATTTGTCTATGAAAAGAAAGTCATGTAATATGAACACATCTTGAGATTTGTGCATGTCAAACACATGAAAAAAAAAGTTCGACTAAGAAAGTAAAATCCGTCATAGAAAGTGATTCATTAAATGACTACATATTATAATTGAAAATAAATCGAATATTTCATATGTTTGTCTTTCAGGAGCAGCAACTCCTCCGACAACAACTCTTCAAATTCCATCAACTGGGACAGGTACAATACATAGATTTGATGCTGTTGTTGGTATAGATAAAATAAATAAAAATGGTATTCAAACACAAATTCGTACAAAAATTTTCAATTTATGTGCTATGCCAACCTATGAAAAGAAGTCCACGGAGGTTAATTAAATAATATATATATATATATATATATATATATATTTTTAAATGTTTTTTATTCTTCTTTTTTTTTTGTCCAGGAACTTCGATTAGAAGATTATCTAGATAATCGAAAATTTCCATCACCAACTACAAGTCCATTTCCATCAGCATCATCTACAACATCTCTATTTGGTGGACCAACAACAACAAATCGTAAATTTTTGACAAAAAAAATAGAAAATTTTAGTTAAATAATAATTTTTTTTAATAATAATAAATAGCTGCAACAAATACAAGTATTTTTGGTACAAATACGACAACAACATCATCACCATTAACTGCAACTTTATTTGGAAATAAGCCAGCTATATCCACAGCATCAACATTAGTATGTCGACAAAAAAAAAAGAGAAAACATTTCTACAATATCATTTTTATATATTATTTAGCCATTTTCATTCGGTGCTCCAACCACAACGACACCAGCACCATTTTCATTTGGTGCATCGACAACAACTACATCAAATCCTGTAAATTTTTATAAATCTTATTAACTAAAAAAAAAAAGAAAAAGCTAATATCAAAATTTTATTTTTCAGACTGCTCCATTTGGTAATACAGTACCTACAACTGGAACTATAACATCAACGTCACCATTTGCATTCGGAGGCACTAGTCAAGCACCAACCACAACAACTATACCAGCTTTTAGTTTTGGTATTATTTTAGTTTTAATAAAGAAACAGAAAAAAAAAACACGATTCTAGTATTTTTCAAATGAATTCTTTTTTTCTCAGGTAATACTACTTCATTATTTCCAGCAGCTAATACAACAACAGCTGGTTCATCATTTGGTTTTCCAACAGCAAAACCAACAACAAGTACATTTTCATTTACTCCAACAACAGCAACATCAATAGCGCCATCATTTAGTCTTTTTCCAACAGCAACAACTGCTGCTCGTATGATTGCTTTTTTTGTTTGATATAGAATGAAAAATATTTCCTAGTAAAATTTGATTTCTTATAGCTACATTATTTACAACATCAAATCAACCAGTAACAACATTAAATGTAATAAATACACAATCATCTGTTGATACACGAACTCATTTACAATTATTTCAAACAATGCTTAATATACAACCATTTAATAGTGAACTTGGCTTTCTTGCACGAAATATAAAAGTAATAATTATATTTTATTATGATTCTATTCAATCTAGAATAAAGATAGATTTTATATCGATCAAAAATAAAATCATTATTTGTCCTTAATAAATTATATTATTTCATTTTATTAATATATCTTAACATATAAATTTTTAATTGACTGATAAAAATCTACAAAAACTTAGTTTGTTCGATTCAAAATTTATAAAGAGAATATCTGTCGTTGTCGGGATATAGTTAATGTTATAAAGACTAAAATTTTTCTTTTTATTTACAAATTATCATTCTTAGATTATCACTTAAAGATTGAAATAGTATTATTAAATTATTATCTTACGTTTATATCGAAATTATTACACTTCTCTTTTGTCGATCTTATTCAATGTAGATAGTATGCAAATGAATACTTAGAGACTTATGTTCGGGAAATTTTTAACAGTGTCAAAAGTTGCTTCTTTTTCAGTTTGTTTTTATATAATGAAGAAAAATTGGTTTAATATTTTGTTTATGATATTGGAAGGTGTAACGTTTTTGTCATTTCTACATGAATTAATTAGGATCCATAAGTTAGATTTTCTTCATATCTGATTTAGCTAGTATATCATTAGGTATTTTTTTGATAGATAAAAGTGCCTGGATGGGATTAGGTTTTTTACTATGGCAATTTTGAAATTTCATAGTTGGATGATTCAAAGACTATGATGAAAACATATTTTTAGTTCCTAGTTATGAGAATAATATTTAAATGGTAATTTTGTAAAAAACAAATTAAAGAAAATATTGTTTTTGTTATAATGTTAATTAGATCTCGGCAATGGAGAGTTAATACTTTTAGGATTTTCTTAGTCTCATTGAAACCTATTGATACCTAAAAGATGAAGGCGAAAATCCAGATTTATACGGATTACTTTCTTCATTAATAAATTCTCATATTTTGAACATGATTTCAATTTGATAAATCAATACTAGTATCAATATTGAAATTGAAAATCTCCTTTTTATGATTATCATTAGAGCATAACTTATAAACACATAATTTTGATTCTTAAATCCATTATTGTTAAAGAACAACAATACTACAACATTCAGAGCTGAACTCTTGTGATCCAACATGATGAGGATTGTTTTAGCTTTGTCTCATTCATTTCTCTTGCATATCAGAATCTAACGAGGAAAGATTTTCAACTGTCGGATGCCGATCGAGCTCTTCCTTTGTTCATATTGAACGGTTCGAAGCAGCCAAAAGTAAACAAGAAGAATCATCAGATAATATAACTCATAAAATCTCTTCAAATCTTAGAATCAACTATATCTTTTTCTATTAACGATTGTATAGAATTTTAAATAATTAAGATTTTTCTATTCATTTAGCCAAATATTGGTCTTGATCGAGCTCGAATTCGTACTGTGCCTGATTCTAGCAATAGTCA